TTCTCAATGTGAGTTTCCATATTCAAGAAAAATTAGGCAATTAAAAAAATTTTAAGATGTATTCTCTGATCTAGAAGTGTTAGCTGCAATCTTTGCCGGAGCCATTCACGACGTCGACCACCCAGGATTCACGAATCAGTACTTGATCAATTCCAGTAAGTACCTTCCCTCGTACTTCCTTTCACTTTATCCTAATCAAATGTTTTTGTAGACAACGAATTAGCGATCATGTACAATGATGAAAGTGTTCTGGAGCAGCATCATCTGGCTGTTGCATTCAAACTTTTGCAAGATGGAAACTGTGATTTCCTTGGAAACTTGTCCAGAAAACAACGGCTGCAATTCCGAAAAATTGTCATTGATATGGTAAGCAAATGATAATGAAGAGAGAAAAGATGATGGTGGACCGGAAGTGTCACATTAAATTAGGAAAATGCGCTGCTGGTGGACTGTATGATTGGGTCTTCTGTGTTTATTTGAAAAAAGTGACAACACCATACGGTCTTTCTTTTGCGATTAGTCATGAGTGGATCACGTGTGTAGTAGTGATAGACCCCAACGGAAATGACGGGTCCTTTAAGAATTAGTTCTGCATGGAACAGTCCCAAAATTTATGTATTTATTTATTGTGATTTTATAGGTTTTGGCCACTGACATGTCCAAACACATGTCTCTTCTTGCTGATTTGAAAACAATGGTCGAGGCGAAGAAAGTGGCCGGAAACAATATCATCGTGCTGGACAAGTACAACGACAAAATTCAGGTTTGAGCTTATTTATTTTATTCTGTGATTTATGCATGTGTCATCATGATCCGATCGTCCTCATCATAATTTTTGCAGGTTCTCCAATCGATGATTCACCTGGCTGACCTCTCAAATCCAACTAAGCCAATCGAATTGTATCAGCAATGGAATCAGAGGATAATGGAAGAATATTGGAGGCAGGGAGACAAGGAAAAAGAACTCGGGCTCGAGATTTCGCCAATGTGCGATCGAGGAAATGTGACGATTGAAAAATCTCAGGTATGAGGAAAAGTTACAAAAATTTATTGTAAGAATTTTAAAAATTCGATAGACACTACCTTCCAACCTCTAATAGAAGGGCCCCTTTAAATTTGAGTCAATTTATCTTGGTTCTCGTCAGAAATATACAAAATAGGTTAAGGAGCTTCAGAAGCCATATAGTGTTCATAAGAAATAGGGAAATCTATTTTTGTAGAACTTGTTTTAGTTTTTATAAGTTCAGACATTAATGTTTGAAGTTTCGAATACTGGAAAATAGCCGTAAAACCTGTAATAGAAGGGTCCCCTTATTTTTAACATTGAAACAATTTATCTCGGCTCCTGACAAAGATATCAAAAAGGTGTAAACTGATAAATTGTTTATCATAATATCACAAACATTTTATCAGTTGACACATTTTTGATATCTTCCATATGAGCCAAAATAAACTAGCTCAAACTTGATCATGTGGGGCCCTTCTATTAAAGGTTTCATGATATTCATTATTTAAATCCTTTGAGTCATTCTTAATTTTTAAAGGTTGGTTTCATCGACTACATCGTTCATCCACTCTACGAAACATGGGCGGACCTTGTGTATCCGGATGCTCAAAACATCTTGGATCAACTGGAAGAAAATCGAGAATGGTACCAGTCACGGATACCCGAAGAACCGGAAACAGCACGCACGGTTACAGAAGACGATGAGCACAAATAGTAGTACCGGATGTTCAGAAACAGGACCAAATTTAACTCAATACGTGTCTATTTTTCTTTTCAATGATGATGATGATAATATGTGTTAGGTGATTAATTGTACCACACTAACAGCACATACAAAAATAAAAAGCGGGTGCCACACTCAGCTTATAGCCAATACATTTTTATTCGACAATTTTTGTTTTTTTCCTGATCTAGTCATTCTTCCAAATTTACAGTAACCCTCCTTTTCACCTCCTGTCACAAGCCCCTTCCAATCCCCAAAAATACCAATCCATCTCAAACAAAATGCTTTATGAACTGAGACTGAAACTTGCCAAAAAAACAAATTATGTCGAAGGACTCTGATACACTTCTACCTGCGTTTCTTCTCCCCTATTTTTCCTCATTTTTCTTTCTTTTTTTGCTTTTGTCTTTCTTTCGGGTTTCTATTTTTTTTCCTTTCTAAATTCTAGAATTGGGCACTTTCCGGTGCTCTTTTATCCCAGTTTCCTCTCTCTCCCTTACCCTTTTTTCTGCTCCCCGTGTTTTGATAACTAGATTTTCGTAGATTTCCCATCCTCCCCCTCTCATTTATTTTGTCTCTAGTTTTTTCCCCCTCTCTTTAAATGTTCAAACTTCCAGCTTCTATATGTATGTACACATTGCATCTTTCTCGCTTTAATTCAGATTTCTATACAGCTCTATGGATTCCGTTGAATGTGGTAATTTTCTAAAAAATAATAAGAAATAAATAATTTAAATTTATGGGGTTGGTTGCTTAAACACTATCAAAGATTGGATAAAAGACCTGAAATCGAAATCTGCTCAGGGCAAAAAAATGCCTCAAAACCTGTATTAAAAGGGCCGGCCCTTCTATTGTTCCAGGCTTCCGCCGGAGAGCCCTTCTATTACAGGTGCTCTTCAAGTAGAAGGACGCTTCTATTTTTCCAAAATGTTTCGTTTCAATAAATGGAACAAGAGTGTTTCAACTAGTATCTGTGAAATTTTGAAATCTCCGGAAATTATTTTTTTAAAATAATTATATTTGAGTTCGGCGGTCCCTAAAGAAAATAACGGTCCAGAGCGAAGTTTGCGTTTTGGATTTCTAGAAAAAATGAATCCTGTTTTTATCGAATTTCCGATTACCAATCTAATTTTTTATGTTGTTCTGTTAGTTTTATCAACGCTCGTGGGATACTCAGTAAGACTTCGATAATGGGATAACTCACAAAATTAACGCCCAACTTCTGCCCAAAATTCCCTGAGTAAATTCAAAACATCAGAAATTCAGCATTTCTGGAGCTTTTAGAGCTTTAGAATCGCTGAAATTTCGAAAATGAATCTCCGTGTTTTGACTTCCTCAATTTCTCAAGTTTTCTTGATTTCTCGAACCTTCAAAGTGTCAAAGATCTTTTAAGCATTTTTTTCAAAGTTTGAATAAGATATACAAAAACTTATTTTTCCGTTTATTTTCAGCCATTTTTACCATTTTCAGAAGTCTGTAGCTCGGCCATCAAGTTTCCGGTCACTTTGAAAATTGTGAAAGATATAAAACATAACTAGATGGAAAACTTTGCATTTGCAGAATTTTTCGAAAATGTCTTGTTTTTCGGTTATGTTCCGATCTCTGAAAGACACCTGATTTTCCCGTTTTCACTACAAAAACGGGACAATAGGATGTCCTTCTGAAATCGGCATGTAGCTGAAAAATTAGGAATTATTCAAAAAATTCTGTGAATGCAATGTTTTAAACCTAGGTCTGATTTACGTCCTCCAAAATTTTCAAAGTTATCGAAAACTGAACATCCGTATTCGAGACTCTTGAAAATTATATAAATGGCCGAAAAAAATTATATAAATGGCCGAAAAAAAATTATATAAATGGCCGGTTTTGCTTTTTTGGTTTTTGCTCCCTCCAAAGGAAACCGAAAATACAATTTGCAATTATTGAAAACTTTGAGAAAACGTCTCCTGCGTTTTTCGGTCTTTTTTCGCATTTTTAAGCGTATGCACACAATTTGTCACTTCTTTTCGTGTCAATTCCCAAAAGAATTCGGAACTTGAAACGACGACACAACATCTCCAAAACATCCCGACAGAATCCTCCTCACTTCTGTTTTCTTCTTCTTCTTCTTTGCTCATTTTTCTGCATGTTTAACCACAAGTCATGAATCGAAAAAGGTGTCCTTTCGCTCCTGTTTGAAACATGAATTATTCATAAAACTCTCAGTTAAATGAGTGCTACAACCGGAACGTGTCTGGGTTGTTCTCTTCGGAGCATTTCCTCTTTCTTCAATTCTAATGGCCGTAGAACTCCACCCTCTCCTCTTCTTCTTCTTTTCTTCCAACTCAGCTAACATTTATTTCGTCAACTCTCTTATTGGCCCCCTTCTTCCTCCAACAACATTCGGACCTTCACACACAAATTGGTTTCTTCCTTAGAACTTGACTAGACCTCGGTAAATGGGATAAATAACTGGGCATTTGTCTTCTTCAATACTTTCCAGTTTCTGAATATTTCTTCAGAAGCCAAATTTTATTCAAGTTGGGGAACCTTGTTGTTGTAGATTTTTTCTGTTTTTTTTTAGTCAGACGTAATGTTTCAAGATTTGAATACTGAGAAATTACTGTAAAACCTGTGATAGAAAGGTCCCCATCTTTTAACATGGAGCCAATCTATCTCTGTTTCTGTCAAAGATATAAAAAAGTGGTCAAATTTTCGGGTCATTTTTCAAATGTTTAAAATGGAAAAAATCAATTTTGGGATGATTTTTCAATTTTTATAGTTTTCGAATTTCAAATTTTCGGGTCATTTTTCCAATTTTTTAAAAATTGAAAAAAAAAATTAGATTTTCTTGTTGAAGATCTTCAAGAGCATTCTCAGATCGGTTTTTTTTTAATTTTTCTCTGCTCAGAGAATTGCTCAGAGAATTTTTCTCTGCTCAGAAAACTTCAAATTAGTCTGCAATTAGAATTTTGGCTGCCGTAAAACCTGTAATAGAAGGGCCTCGAGTTTGAGCTCAATTATCTCAATTTCTATATCAAAAGTGTGTCTACTGACTGTTATTATGATAAACAAATTATCAGTAGACAAAGTTTTTTCTTTTTGTCAGGAACCGAGAAAAATTGGCTCAATTAGGGCACCTTCGAATACAGGTTTCATGGTACTTCAAATTCTCAACCAAAAAACCATTTAATTTTTTCCTTTATCAAACCTACAGTACTGATAAGTTCGTATACACAAATGTTCAAAAAAAACTGATAACTTTTTTTTTCCAAGTCATACTCGTTTTACGATCCATCCATAAAACATGGAAAATCGTATCATCTCCTTTTTTCAATTCCATTTCAGTGTATTTTTAAGCCGATTCTGTTTTTGTCTCCCATTTTCGTTTTTCCACATATACCACTTGATTATGCTAATAAATGACACACACACACCAATCAGCTAGCTCTCTTCACTCTCGTTTTGTGACTTTTTGTCCATATCTAAGCGATTAAAAGAGCCATAAATCAGGTGAGACTACTGGCTGCTTTCATTTGACTTTTCTCATTTATTTTCGCGCACACCATCCCGCGCGTAATAAGCCATATGTTTTCCAGGCGGTTATGCCGCCGGCTCGAGCTTATGTGACATTTAGATGTGGCGGGGAGGAATGAGAAATTCATTTCCATTCGATCAACCATAAAATCAATGAACGTCCGGGTAGGCTAATTGTCGAGAGCGGAAGCCAGAAACATAAAAGACCGCCCGTGTTAGGAACGTGGTCAAATATTTGAAAAGAAAGGGAGAACATGTGGTGTTCTACATCTCATGCTCTCTAACGGTCATTTCACCTGCTGCTGACCAATATATCTCTTTCATTCTCTTCCTGTCGTTTTCCAAGTCATTAAATTACCTCTTCGTCTCATCTTCTTCATCTATTTTATCTTTTATCTTTTGCCAAGCACACTCGTCCAAACTCCCAGACCAAGAGGATCGGGGGTGCGTGTGAAACACAATACAGTCTATTGCGACGCAGAGTGACTGGCACAACATGTCAACTGATAGAAAGAGTGGGATCATGCCTAGAGATTGGATGAGTCGAAGAAGCGCAGAATGTCTCGGAAGTTGCGCTTTTTCTATTTCTCTTTTCCCTCTCACTTGATGCTTTATTCCATAGTCCACCCTTAGATTTCCTATCACCACATCCGTATTTCACATTTTCTGTTTCTTCCTTTTTTATTAATTCCTTTTTTATTCCATCCAAATTGAAATTTTTATTTTGGTAAATTATTTTATTTCTCCCAATAATTTCTCAGTAAAATTTAAAGGCATCTATTCCGTAAATGTTATAATAGAAGCCCACCCAATACGTGCTCAATTATCTCGGTTCCTATAAGAGGTATCGAAAATTTAGCAACTGATAAAATGTTGCTGATAGCATGATAAATATTTTTTTAGTAGATCACTTTTTGATATCTAACACAGAAAATGAAAAAACTTCAATTTTAAATTAGGATTCTTTGAGCCGCCTAAAGCCCGCCAATGACTTGTTCACATTTTGAGCTCAATTATCTCGGTTCCGACAAGAGATAACGAAAAATTGTCAAGTGATAAAATGCTTCTGATAATATGAAAAACATTTTATCAGTTAAAAATGTTTAGATTTCTTCGGTTGGAACCGAGATATTTCAGCTCAAAGTGTAGGATGGACTTCTATTCGATCATTTCCAGTAGTTAAATTTATCTGAACTCTACTCAGAAAGTTCTGCTTTCCATTTTCATTTTCGCTACTTCTCAGCTTTTTAAACTTTCCAGCGCTGAAACCTTCCATTACAGAAATCCTTTTGAACTGGATTCCGACTATCCACTGTCTCTAATAGCATACCCGATAGATTCACATCGACTTAAAAGTAATTTCTGAAGTTTTCCCTTCACTTTTTCCCACATCTTCGCCACCGATCCATTCCCCAAAAAACCGAAACGAGGTTGAATTAAAAAGGGGAGGCGACAAAAATGAACTCCCCCCATTTTTGATTAGTCATCACTCGATTTGTTCTTTCTCTCTCTCCATTTCTCTGATTCTCACTTTTTCACACTATTCTATTTCTTGTCCAGAATGAACTTGTATCTCATTGTCTCATTGTCACCGCCCTCTCTTCGTTTTGAAAACAAATTGTCTGTCTGTTTCTCTTTCTCCTCCCTTCATCATCGGATCCTCTCTAATCCTCTAGATTCTCCATTCGACATATGTTTCCCATTGATATCAAATTTTCGAGTCGTTTCCATCCTACTCTTATTCTCCAGATAAGTGTTGCCAATTCACTTGAAGCTCCTTCTTCTTCTTCTTCTTCTTCTTCTTGTTCCTTTTCCAAAGTACCCCTAGCTTGTAAATCGACACCATCTGGCACCGGACATAATTCGATTTTTATTTTCTTTTGTTTCCAGAATCCTTTCAGGTTCTATTCCTATTTCTCTTTTCATTTGGAATTCACAAAAAACATAACAAGAAAAAAAAAGAAGAAGACTGCAAAAAAAAACGGGCCCGATGAATAATGTATCATCCAATTTCGTGTATTCAGAATAACAATTACGAGTCATTTTCTCTTTTCCCTACGATAAACAGTCGTATTTCTCTCTGCATTTTCCTTTATTTGCTCCGTGTCACCATTTCGAAACCGCGAACCAAAAAATTTCCCCTGTTTTTTCTTACTGGCTACCCATTTTCTTCTTCTTTTTTCCCTTCTTTTTGGAACGTTTTGACACTCGGTAAACATACCGATTTTCCCTTTTATTTTTCACTTCTTCTCATTCGATTTTATTCTGCTCTTTCTGGAGTCAGCTGAAAAAAGACACTGAAAATATCTGGATCTCGTGATCGTTTATTCATTTCTCAATTTCACAACAAAAAAAAAGAATCACGAGGCGTCGTGCTGTTTTTTTTAAACATTTCTGATAAATTGTTTTTGTTCAACGAGTCATAATGTTTCAATTTCTCAGTTTCAATTCACAGATTTTTTGTGAAGAGGATAGGAATACCGTAAAACCTGTAATAGAAGGGCCCTATAACTTTCAACTTTTAGCCAATTTTTTCTCAGTTCCTGTCAGAGGTATAAAAAAGTGGTCAACTGATAAATTATCTATCAAAATTTTGTCAGTTGGCGAATTTTTTATACAACTCATAAAAACTGAGATATTTAAGCTCAAATTAACCTTTATTTTCCGTAGACACTCAAATAGAAGATCACTCTATGCTTTCACTTTGAGCTCAATTATCTCAATTTCTATGAAAGTTATCAAAAATGTGTCAACTGATAAAATGTTGGTGATATTAGGACAAACGTTTTATCAGTTGATAACTTTTTGATATCCTTAACAGAAACCGAGAAAATTGAGCTTAAAGTGCACGTATAGTGTGGGCTTCTATTAGAGCATGTACGGTATAGATTCCTTGGGACCCTTCTATTACAGTTTTTCGGATAATTTTCAAATATAACTCGGGTAAATCTGAAATTTGGTATAAAACTAGTTTATCAAATTAATTTAAAATTATTGTTAGAATTACCTTTTCCATAAATAAGAAAGATATGCTTTCCTATTCCTCAGTATTAGGACATGGAAATAGAAGAAACCATTTCATCGAACACATTGACAAGTCTTCTCTTTATTCTTCCTTCTCACCTTTTTCCTATTTTCCAGCCACACCTTCTCTTTCTTCTTCTTCTTCGTCTCCTTCTTCCAATCGTACGACTCATTGAGAGGCATCAAATTGATAAATATGTAGATGGCACCTCCATCCGTCTCCAAGGTCATTGACTACTTGTTCTTAAGTATCCTCCCCACCTATTCCCTAATCATGTCTTTTCCTTTTTCCTTTTGTATCCCACTTTTCCGTGACAAATCTCTCCAGTCTTCCTTTTCCGTACGACGTCTTCATCCATAAACAGCTTTTTCAAGTTTCCGCACGTCTTCTTCCCGTAGTATTTTCCCTCATTTCCTTCTAAATGAGTCCATTGTCTCAAAACCCCATTTTTGGCTTCTTCTTCTTTTCTGCCCTTTCAATTCCAAGATGGAAGAGGCGAGAGGATGGAGAGAGCACCCACCAATTTCCTGCTCTTCGCGCATTTCGTATCCATGAGCCATTATGTTTCTCGTCTCAAAACCACCACAACGAGCTGTTGACTGCACTTTTTATAGATTCATTCCTCATTCCTTTTTCGCCGCTTCTATTTCGATCCTCTATTTCTCATTTTTCGGACAACATCCACTAGGAAATGCATTCCCGCGCACACTGCCGTTTCTCCTCATATCTACCGATATTTGTATGTTTACACAATTCAAACACCGGCCACCCAATATGTTTGCATTTTACAAGTCCCAATATTCGTCGTTCGGTTACCTTCTCTTTTCATCTTCACACCTACGCTTTTCATTTTCTAATCCAATACGGACATTTGAGAACATCCTGAATTAATTTTGACTGTGGGCATTCTCATAAACTATGAAAAATCTTATTATCTTTCTCCATTGTATTTTGAGAATTTCGTGAATTCAAAAGCTTGAGTAAAATATTGGTGTCATACAGGGTGGTGCATAATTACCCGGACAAGTTTACACTAGCCTAAAATTTGGGTGAAGCGTTGTACTGGGTCCAAATTTGGAGTGGGGAAATTCAACAAATTTATCAGTAAACTGACCAAGTTTCAAACTATTTGACCAACTTTGATAAAAATCGCAATAAATTACGTCGTTGATCTATGAACAATTATAACAATGCCTCGACTTGAGGTATTGCTTTGAAATTTTCAGTAGCTTTGAATCAAATGTAAAATTATATTTTTACCAATTTTCAGCTCTCCAAGATACCTATGTCTAAGGATATACCCGCTTTTATCATTCTGTAAGAGCAAGAAACCGTAACACTCCCACACAATGCCATACAGCCATCAACTTTGAGCTCAATTATATCGTTCCCTGTGCAAGATATCAAAAATTTGTTAACTGATAAAATATCACTGATAATATGATAAAAATTTCTTTAGTTGATCACTTTTTGATATCTAACACAAAAAATGAGAAATATTTCTCATAGGAACCGAGAAAATTGCTCAAAATTTGAACGAGTCATTGGCGGGCTATAAGCGGCTCAGTGAACCCTAATTTAAAATTCAATGTTTCTCATTTTCTGTGTCAGATATCAAAAAGTGATCAACTAAAAAAATGTTTATCATGTTATCAGTAACATTTTATCAGTTGCCAAATTTTTGATACCATTTTTGATACGAGCTAAAAGTTGAAGGTTTGGGTGGTGTTCTATTAGAGTGTTTACGATAATTGTGCGTAATCTAGGATACTGATGATCTTTTAGTGTAAAAATACCATTGACTTTCTATCCTCGCGCATCTTTTCCTAACTTTGTATATTTCTAATAGTAAGTGCACTCATGTAATGGTACTCTGAATTTTTGAACACCCCCACATTGGCCTTTTCATCGTATCTGGCACAAAACCCCCTCCAGCTGCAAATTGTACCAGGTGCATACTTTCTCCATACTTTTTTTGGGGTTCCTCCAGCTGTCATCTTTCACTCGACCCCTGAACCGTCTCCAGATGAAACTATCCCCTATTCCATTTTTTTTGTTTTTTAATTCATTCCAGTTTTCACTCAACTACTATTCCTACGATCATCACATGATCATCCCACTACTACTACTCTCTCTGTTTTCCGCCTTGATCCTTTTCGTAATTATACGCTTATTCTCGTTTCACTTTCTTTCCTCCATCATAAAATACAGTTTCTTTAATACTCAGCTTAATGCTTCGCAGAATGCCATCAAACATTCGAGAGTCAGATGCATCATGTCTCGAGATGATACGATCAATCATTCGATCGGCAGTTGATGACAATTCGAAATGGGTTGAGATCTTTGTGGATTTTGAGAATGCACAACCAACAGAAGATGAGAGAGAAATCTATAATATGGCAGAAGACGTACTGCACGATTGTGATGAAGTTCTTGCAGATGTTACCAGTTATGGGAATGGTAAGCTTACTTCTAGATTTGGAAAAAGAACTAAAAATCAATCCTAAACTTTCTTAGGTTGCTACATCGAAAGATCCCAGTTGAAAAACGACAGTGATATCCAGGCCCTGAAAGTTTGATGACAAAACTGGAACCTTTTGTGGCAAGGACATGCTCTTACTATGAACACGTGGCTAAAATCGAGAAAATCGTTCCAATCATCTTATGGGAACTGTCATCTGGACCATTGCCTCTCGAAGAACAACTTGCTAATAAGCAGTCTATCGCCAAGCAGTTTGCCCGTTTGATTGGATTCGTGTTGGATTTTGATGTAGTGAAGGTATTCAATTTAGAGTGATCTTTCAAAATGCTCAATGAATTTTCTAGATGAGAACCGCCCAAATCACAAACGACTACAGCTACTATCGCCGAGCAAAGCACATTGTTTATCAAGATTTCGAGTAAGATTTTGATTGTGAAAGTAAAAAATTTCAGACTTTAAAATTAAAAATTCAGAGATCAAGGAGTGCCAGAACTTCCGCAAGTTCAGATGTTTCTGTGCGAAGGAAATCCAATGTTGAAGGCGTTGTGTAATGGAGTAGACGCATATATGCATTCACATCAGACACTTCCAATTAATAATACCACAGACGTTTTTGTCACCATCATCAAGTGAGTCTTTACCAAACATACACCAACTTTTTGATGTTTTTAGCGTTTGCCGATTCATGTTAGCCAATGAGGAATGTTTGGCACGATTGACAGATTCATCCAAACATTTGTGTTGTCGAGTGATGACGGGATTGGTGATTCTCTTTGACCATGTTGACCAGAATGGAGCATTCGTGTCGAATTCGTCCATCGATATGAGAGATGTTGTCAGGTTGATCAAGCAGAATACAACGCAAGAACAGGTACAACCTATTTTTCCGGAACGTTTTTTAAATAACTGTTTTACCGCGCTGTTTCGTATGGAATGCAGGCATAAAACCGTAAGAATCGGTAGTTTGATTCGAAACTTTCGCGTCGAGACCAACGCTAAGGTAATTAGCGTTTTTACAAGGAGTTCCGAAAAAAACACCGTGTTTTTAAAAATAAAATAATCCAAATTTTCAGTCTGACTGCCTGCTCGCTGGTCTTCGATTCACAACAAAACACTACAATGATTCGAGCACTCCAAAGTCTCTTCGTCAAATGATTGAAGTTAAATGAATCGATTTTTAAGCCTTGTCCCTGATTCTAGTCATCCTTGCCCATCCACCTCTTCGTCGTTCTCTTATCGCTTCTAGTTCTCCATGTACACGGTGATTTTTCCATGTTCCCCCATCAAAAAGTACTTTTTATCAGTGATAATGAAGAAATTCCGTTCTCTTGTTTTTAATGATTCGTCCCTCAATGCCTTCCCTTTCCGGTTATCTAATATATAAAGTTTTTCTTTTATATCACACCTTTATTGTTTTGGATCGCAAATATATAACAACAATATGTAGAAAAATTAAAATACAGTTGTTCTTAGAAAAAAGACACAAAACGGAGTGGATGAGAAAACAGTTGAAAATTGTAGGTATGTGAAAAAGGCCGAAGCACGAAAAAGAAAACAAAACTGATCGGTATTTTTGAGTAGCAATTTCAGAAACAAGCGACTCGGGATGAAGTTGATTGAGCCATATTGTGCTAGTTAACACCATTTAATTGTAGAAAACATGGGGAAGGAAGGAAAAGAAGGCGCTTTTAGGTATCGGGGTATCCGGACTATAAACACGTTTTCAGATAAAAAGACAAAGAAAATGTTAAGAGAGAAGTGTCATTGAACAGGGTGATCTATATAGTTAATTTTGATGAATTTTAGAAATTTTAGAGAAGAATTCAACGGAATCCCAAAGGCAGATAATCGAATGAAAACATCTGTATGTTGGTCTTTCGAATTAGTTGAAATGTTTTGGAATCATGCTCATCGAGATGCTACTAGATAGATTATATGAAACGATGTGCAGATGACATCGGTGACGATGCCATCGAAACGCTTCTCTTTTTGGCATTTTTGGGAAGTTTAGGTATATGAGAGAAAGTGGACATCAGAGGCTAAGAAGATTTGGACATAGAAAGATAAAACACAGTCACAATTAAAATACAAAAAAACGGGAACAACGATGAATACTCTAGAGGATTGTGCACTTTTTCTTCTTTTCCTGTTGTGGTGGATCAAGAGCGGCAAGGATGGCCTCGTCGAAGACGTTTTTCAGTCCCTTCTGCAAATCATTTTTGAGTTTTAGATAAACGGATACTAATGTTATATCAATTGATTCTCAACGCTAACAGTTGCTGATAGTTTCTTATAAGATCATTTATCTAGGTAAAAGCCTAAAACGTAGACTCACCTGCGTCAATGCTGAACACTCCACGTATTTCACTGCCTTCAACTCCTTCGCCAACTTCTCTCCAACATCAGTGGATACTGGCTTCTGCTTGTTCTTGGCGAGTTTCTCGAGCATTCCTGGATCATCTCTCAAATCCACTTGGGTTCCGACGAGAAGGAAAGGTGTCTTTGAGCAATGATGCGAGATTTCTGGTACCCACTGAAACGATAAAAGTGAAATCAGATGGTTTTTTTTCGATAATCGCTCAAGTATTAAAAAGGATATAGAATTTAAAAGCCAAGACTTTCTACGTTTCTTGCTAATGGGTTTGAAACAACAGGCAAACAAAAATATGTTTTAAATCAACTCACTTTTTCCCTAACGTTCTCGAACGAAGCAGGAGCGACAACAGAGAAACAGACCAGAAAGACATCAGTTTGTGGATATGAGAGAGGTCTTAACCGATCGTAATCTTCCTGTCCAGCGGTATCGAACAATCCTAGAGTGTACGGCTCGCCACCGATCATCACAGTAACCTGAAAATCTATCGAAATTATTAACGAAAAAGCCTGAATCCACTCACGGCATAGTTGTCGAAGACAGTCGGCACATACTCGGATGGGAACTTGTTTGTGGTGTAACTGATGAGGAGACATGTTTTACCGACAGCTCCATCACCGACGACGACGCATTTGATCGTCTGCATTTCGTCTGAAAATCTATAATCTTCAAAATAATCGAGAAATTTGAATAAATTTAACGGATGAGTCACACATTTGAGCATGAAAGTTTCGACATCGAGAAAAGTAGAGAAAGCGAGAAAATTGCGAAACATGCGCGATAAAAATCGATATTCGCCTTCGAAACTGCAGAGCGATGTCGTAGAATGCGGCAAAGGAATAGGAATACATGAAGAAAGAGCAAGAAATAGGGTGGGGAATGAAGTAGTTTGATTAGACAAAAACTGGTGAAATAACATTTACCAACGCTGATTCCAAATGAGGAATCGTTAAATGAATCACCGATAACGAATGGAATGAGAGCGCGAAAAAGAAACGGTATTAGAGAACGTCTTAATTACTGTATTGAAGGTACAGCACATAGGTACTCTTTTAGGTCGGTTCCGCAGCGATTATAGTAATTTAAAAAATTCAGTCTGAAATTCGGATTTCAATAGTTGTTTTTGAATGGATGCGGCTTTTATTTCTGGGGGTTTCATGCTCGTTCTGAACTATAAATAGCTTCTTTCAATATTTTAGTACAAATTCTAGGAATTAATTGACCGTGCTTTGAAATAAGTTTGACAGTTGAAGGAAAAGAAAACTGGGCGATAGCTGATTTTCGACATGAATCACTTAAAACAAGCAAACCTAAAAATTAAGAAAATTTCAGACAAGACAAGAAGCGTGAAAAAGTTTTGCTGAACACGGGCAAAAAAGGAAGTTGAAGATGGTGGACAGTTTGTCGACAGAGCCTAAGAGAACCGCGACGCGGCCGCTCGCATTCAAAAGACAACTAAAGTGTTGGGAGACGCAGAGAAGAGAAAGAGAGAGTGTTGAGAGAATGGAGACATGACCACACATCTCACATAGGGTCGTCAGACTACCCCAAATTATTGGATTCAAATTTAGGTCCCAGGCACGCGATATCCGTTTCAAAACCTTGAAGTAGTAAGGGTTTAGAACCAATTCAAACCTCAACTAGTTCATTTTCATTCTTTAAGCCTTCTCAGAACCTCGTAAAGGGATTGTATAAGGTTCGGAAAGTCATCATGTTGGTCCTAAACGTTTAATTGTATAGCCTCGTCCCTGATGTTTCTTGGAATCTTTCCGGAGAATAATTCGAGAAACCTACAGTAACCCGACGCCTGAAATAAGCTCTCTTTTATTCGGTTGCGAGTTTGCGATCTGTCGACAAATACAATTCGTTAATTTTTCGTACATTTTTACTGTATGTTCATCACCCTAATTCCAGGTTCATATTTGAAAATTTCGGTGTCACAAATCTCTGCAAACGTAAAGTCTCTTACGATGTTCAGACGTATCACTAGGTTTCATCCCTTTTTATTCATGCCAAAAAATTTGTATTCCTATCTAACTGTCAAATTCCCTTTTTACTGTATCATGTAAAACATAATTAATTTCATTTCGGTACGATAAACCTTGTTTCACTTGCGTACTTCTCTTCTTCATTATGCGTCCGAGATTATATCTGGTGAACGGCCTCACTTTCGAAGATGCCCTACAATAGTTTCCTTTCACATCACCACACCCAGCAGTATAGTCACTTTCCATATCTGTCTTATAAGAAAAAATTTTTGAGTTTTTATCCTTTCTCATAACGGCAAACGCCATTTTCTTTTCCTTGCATTGTCAATCAATAGTCCGTCGATCCGGTTCCCTCGCCCATTTGATGCATTCTTCGCACATTCATGTGCTTCTTTTTATTCTCCGTGGATTCATCTATCGGCATCATCGATTTGTCTAAAATCTTCCTCCATCTTTACATCCTAAAATCCAAACTTCCTGTGATCGCACACCTGTTCTTTCTGGCCCTTAAACTCTCCAACACTGTTTGTTCTTTTCGCTCGTGCGCCTGCACGAATGAAGAGGGAATAGTTTCAAACGCTTTCCGCTCGTAAATCTATATCATATAGGTTGAGAAGAAATAGAGAATAAGAGAAACAACGACAAGTAAATGTTTTTTATTCAGTAAGTGTATTCTGCTTTAAAATTCTTAGCCATCACTCCATGCGGGTTGTTGGCAACGCAAGCGTAGACTCCCTGGTCACCCATCGTAGCCGGGTCTGCAACAAGATTACTTTACTTGTAGTTTTTTTTAATGAAAAAAAAAAGCGAATTTCCACTCATTCCTTGGTTAACTGTTCTGTCAGTTTCCGAATCGGCTACTTTGACTAATAACATTAATATTGTTCACTCACCAACTTCTAGTTTACTCCAAATTGTGTCATTTTCGATTGGCTTTTCATAGTACTGCAATTTCTAATGTTTTTTTTTCATTTGAATTCAGTTTGTAACATACGTGAATGCTCGCCTTTGGTTGTATCTCTGCTCCTTCTTTGTACCATTTTATAGTCGGCCTGGGATCTCCTCGAGCCTTGCAAATAATCAATAGTTTATATCCCAATCGATAGGTCTGACTGAAATGTGAGCCAGTTATGATCTGAGCGCTCTGCAATAATATTCTCATTGTTCACTTCTCTTTTTTTTCTGAATTAATTTCTCACTCTATTATCGGAAAGAACCGTCTGAACCAACGAAAACTCGGCAACTTGAGCGAATTGCAGGTTACTTTTTCCTTTTCCTTTGCCTCCTCGACGACCACCTCTCGAATCAATGGCACCCAATAAGACGCAGAAAAAGAAAATGAAGCGGCCCCAAAATCGAAAGCTCATGATTCGGGATTTGCCGGCTAGTGCAGCCTACCTTCTGCACCCGTCACTCCGCGGAATCTTGCAAAGGTTTGTGTCTGAACTTGGAAATGATTTTGTAGCAGGTCAAATAGGTATTTATGTGAGAAGATAACTATTGATTGGATGCTTCCAAATCCCTAGCATGTGATTTCTCTGGTCCCAGTGTAAAGTAGAACAGAGCATAGAAAAGAGAAGAGTGTGGAAAAATAATGTGTTTTAAGAGGCCCACGATGAAGGACATTAGAAATCTCAGTTTTCTTTCAGTCGGCCGAAACGATGGAACAGTGGAAGTCCCTCACACCGTATTGCTGTGAACCTTGTCCGGAAGTACAAAAAACAAATTAAACCACGAGTTCTACCGTTTTTCTGCGATCACTGCCGTATATCGTCTCGGTATTTTTCCATTATAAAGGATCATGAATGTGACAAGGAAGATAAAAAGAAAGCAGCTAGGAAAGAGGAAGAGAGAAAATATTCAGATTATGATTGCACAAACGGTATTGTTCATTTAAAATAGTACTTTTAAACACAGTAAATATCTCAGAAGCAAGACTTGCAATGAATGCAGAGAAACAGTGGAGATTCAACGCTCTGGCGAGTTTAGAGCAAAGTCTCAAACCCAATGTCATCATGCCAAAGAAAGTAGAAATCTCGAAATTTCCAACAGAAGCCGAGCCTTTAGATTGTGAGCCAGACCAAGCGTGAGTTTGAATTTGGAACTGAAGTGGCTAGCAGCGAAAAGAGAAGACAGAGAGTGACTCTCAACTCGATTAGCACCTCCTGTAGCTGTTGTCTTCTTCTTTTCTCTTGAAAATATTCACTCGTTGTATTGTGCCTCGTTTCAGGTTTTTGGAGGCGAAGAAAAAAGAATTTGAAGATGACATTCCACATCATCCGATTGAAGAAGTGCTAATTGAAAACACTCAAGCTCCTCGTCCACCTACGACAGTGAAGCCGGACCCCAGAGAAGCTGGCGTTTTCTGTTTCAATTGCAAAGGATCATTCGAGAGTTACAGTCAATATCACCTACATCTTTTCAATAGTCACGATAATGGAGCATGCAGTAAAGTGCTCCCAAGTTATTACCCTACCGAGGTACTGTAGAATTACTAACGTTTTAAATTCGCAAAATCTCAAACTTGTAGACTATCGATCGAAGCGGATTGTTCGACCCGAGATACAAGCACAAAGTCATGCACAGTAGACCGTCCAAACGAGACGTCAGACATGTTCGCTGTACACATTGCAAGACGATAAACTTTACTTCAACTGCAGAACTCTACGCTCATATGATTAACTGTGCAAATTCTGTTACTCAGGACAGGTAATACAAATCATCCATTTAAATAACACTCTGAGCATTTATAGTGGTAATTCCCCTCCTCGCAATTTCACTTCATTCGGATACGGACTGCCTCCATCACACGATGCCTATCAATACGTGTTCCCAGAAACCTCAGATCAATCTACTCCCAGAAAGAAGAAAGGCACAATACGATACACGTCTACAACGACGAGATTCTGAATCAAAATGTTGTTCCCTATTTGTTTATAGTTCGAAAATAATGCATATTATAGATGTATTCTTTCTTGTAACATATAATTTCATGGTCTATCAGAAATCTAAGTTTTTTTTTCATTTCCCCATTCGCCAAGTTTTATCCATTTGTATCCTCTTCCTCATAGAATTTCTAAGTCATTACAAGTCATTGTGATTATGCCTTTTTTCCCGAAACTTTCATCCGACCTCCTCCCCGGACTCTTTCCATTTCCAGTCTGCCTTTTCCTGCCCCTGGGTCAACTCCACTCTTTCTTTTGTAATGACTGGTACGATCTCTGTTCTTTCCTTCTAATTGAATATGTGTGTTTCTAATTTTAATATGAAGATTGATAAGCTTTTATTCTACAAAATTTGATTACATGTAAAAATGTAGCAATCAAGAGCTCATCATTTCGATTAATGAGCATTAAGCAGATTCATTTGCAGGTCAATGGTTCCAGAAAGAATCATGTCGTGGTTTCCGGTGGCCTGAAATATTGTTATTATTTTCAGAACTTTTAGTCGAAAATATTAGAAATATTTACATTGGAAAACTCCTGATCACTATTATGGATCTGGGAGTTTTTGGTTAAACAGGGGACATTCCTATATCCGACTTTGTCGTCATTTATACCGTAGATGGAATAAATGTGGCTTCCTTCATATCTTTCCCTGAAATCAGACGATTTGAAAAGTCAAATCAAAAGTTTAGAATTACACAGAGTTAATATTCTGCAAAAATGAAGAGAGACAGAAGAGACCATTTACAGAAGAACAAGCATTTGTGACAGGCAAAACACAAAGATAGGATGCTTTATTTGCGCCTGAAGACATATTTTTGAATTTTAACATTTCTGTGAAATATTCAAACCTGCAACTGAAATGTAGGTTTCAACGGAGCTTGTCAGAGGCGCTCCCAACTCCACATTTCCATCAACACAGTTTCCACCAAGGATAGCCTTTAATCCATGTTCTAAACATGTTTTCTCCTATTTTTAAATACCTTTCTGACAATTGGAGATCCTAAAGAATATCCAATGATATCAACTTTTTGTTTAGTGAAGTCCGCGACCACTTTGATGAAGTTCCTCATCTAAAAACGAGAATACCGTAAGACCTGTATTAGAAGGACCATCATCTTTTACAGGGACTATCCAATTAGAAGGGCCCTCCAATTATCCGACCATTTTTCCGATTTCTTCATCAAAAAATTCGGTGAATTCTCGCCTAATAGTAAAATTTGTAGAAAATCTATTACTTTCACCAAAATTGAGCAAGTTTCTCAGCAAAAAAGACTTCAACGATTTTTTTTTAATTGTGAAATTTCCGGAATTTTTCACTGAAGCCGCACGGAGTTTTTAATTTCAAACAAAACATTTTAAAGGAGGCCCTTCTATATTTCCGAACCCCTCTCGGAGGGCTCTTCTATTAGAGGGGCCGTTCTATTAAAGAAGCCCTTATAATACAGGTTTTACGGTAAATCATTAAAAGTTTTGAACCTGCTGAACAAATGCGCAATCCATAGAAACGTCTTGAGCAGGTGTGATTGCTGCACTTCCACTACCATAGGTGGTTCCATAAACCTGAAGAAACTATGAAACTAACTAATTATTTTGAAAAGAAAAATACGGTATCTTCGCTCCAACCATTACTGAGCAATGCGTTCCTTTGTCCAAAAAAGTTTCCAGCATTGTTAGTGGTTCCATGAACAAGAATGACTGCTCTTCTACTAGTCGGACTGTACCCATCATGAGTGCCTCCTCCGTAGCTTCCAACTGCACCCAAATCGTTTCTCGCCAAGTCATCATACATTTGTTGCGAATAGTTGTTAATTATAAAACTCTTGAAACTGGCTGAGAAGTCAGCAGACGCCAAACCCATGACAAGGAATAGAAGAAGAATTGTATGACGAGAAACCATTGGAAGAGTTTGGGAGGAAGGTCTTTCCGGCACATTCTTCTCCTATTCGCAACTCTTTTTATACTCAAGTTTTCAGTCAGAAAAATCATAATATAGGAAGAGAAACAATGTATTCCATACAAAATATTCGTGTTTCAGACAGGGAAATCAACATTTCTGTGTTCGTGATTACCATAAATTTTCATTTGAACTGTTAAAGAAGATTAGAAAGTGAACATGTTTTTTTTGTTTTTATGTTCATGATTCTGGTTGAACTGGAAAATGAAGAATGGAAGTTGGAATCTATCGAAAAATCTGTTTTAAGAGGGCCCCTCTAACAGAAGCGCCCTCCAAGGAGGGCTTGGAAAAATAGAAGACCTCTTCAAAATATGTTACAGTAAACACTCTAATAGAAGGCCATTGCACTTTGAGGTCAATTATCTCGTTTTTATGAAAGATACCAAAAATTTGTCAACTGATAAAGTATCCATCATAATATCATCAATATTTTATCTGTGGACAAGTTTTTTGGCATCTCCAGAAACCGAGATAATTGAGCTGAAAGTGCAACTATAGGGTGCCCTTCTATTAGAGTGCTCACGGTCTCTGAAATAAAAAAAATTCATACGTTTTCAGTAAAAAATACTCCGGGAATTGAAATTTGTTTCTCAAAAATCTCAGTTTTGGCTAAACCGATAGATTTTAATGAATTTTTATCAAGAATTCACAGAATTGTTCGCTTAAACTTTTCGGAAAAAATGTTACTAAAAATAGAAATACCCCTCTAATTGAAGTGTCCCTGTAATAGAAGGACCGGTCCTTCTAATACAGGTTTAAAGGTAAATTCAGATTATTTAATTCCTCATATCACAATAGTTACATAACATGTTTTAGAATACGGTTCAGTTAAATACATAATGTACAGAAATTATACTATTTTCCTTTTTAGTGTGATAGAATCATCCAGCATGTTGATCGATAAGTTTGAACTGCAATGCGGCTGTTTTGATAAGAACGTCGTCGTGGTTTCCAGGTCGCTGAAAATATTAATCTCTCAGTTTTTCTATCTGAAAAACCAACTGCACCTCGAATTCTCCATTGGCTCCGGCGATCTGGGAACAGAGTTGCCCACACGTATTGCGATATCCAACTTTATCGTCTCCTGGTCCGTAAATGGAGAAAATATATTTTCCCTCGTAGCGGGGTCTTGAGTTGATATCCTTGATGTATTCCGACATACACGATAGTCCATTTTTCATGTTACAAGCACCTGGGAATGGTAGAGCACAGAGGAACGAACCACGGTTTGCACCAGCCACCGAAACATAAGTGTCAATGAGTCCAGTCAATGATGGTCCAAGATTTTCTCCAGTATCGACACAAGCTCCACCAAGAATCGCCTGAAAACAGGAATTTTTTTCGGAATTGAAAACGGGCCCTGTCATAGTTCCTTTTAGGATCTATATTCTTAGACTAACTACTGTAACCACTTTAATAGAAGGCCACTGATACCGCCAACGTTGTGCCTTTATATCTCAATTCCTGTAAATTACAGGCATAGATATCCAAAAGTAGTCAACTGAGAAAATTCTTATCATAATATCAAAAAAAATTAAAAAAATGTTCATCATGTTATCAGTAACATTTTATCAGTTGACAAAATTTGAATATCTTGTATAGGAACTGAGATAATTGAGCTCAAAGTTGACGGTCCGGTGGTCTTATACTTGAGTGTTTACAATAAATTAGATACATATTATAAGAAATCTTTGGTCCGTTTTAAGTCCGTTCAACCATTTTCAGCCGTTTCAGCTTATTAAATGCAATTTCAGCCTTTTTGCAAACAATTTTGTTTTCAGATATATCTGGAAACCTAGAAAAAAAAAATCAAAAGTAAGACTTTCAAATGTACTCAGAAATTTTGAAAACATAGTCAGAATAAGGCTTAAAATAGACTAAAACTAATTAATTTGAAACTGGGCAATCTTTTGCCCATTTTTGGCCCGGTTTTTAGCCGTTTTGTATCGTTTTAACCTATTTCGGAATTTCTGATTTTCAGCAGTTTTTCGGACGTTTTTAGTCCATTCTTAGCCATTTTTAGCCGTTTCTGGACTGTTTCAGCTTTGCTAGAAATTTCTAAAATTCAGCCGTTTATGTTCCGTTTTCAACCAATTTCAGCCATTTCAAGCTGTTTCTGAACCGTTTCCAGCTTACTAGAGAACTATCTGAGCGGGATTCCAAGTTACACTTCATGACCTATATCATTAGAAAGCCCATAAAATTCTGATTCGGAATGTGTTTTCTATACGGCGGTGAGCTTTCGGAAAATTAGGTCACAAGAAATTTTA